GTTTTCCAGCCTGCTTCCTGAGCTGAGATTCCCAGTACTTTGCACAACACTGATTCTGGTTCAGCAGAAATTATCCCTAAAAATCCATTGCGCTTCACCTTCGGTAAAATCTGATGCAGGATTTCCCATGTAATTTTGAAGAGGGACACACAAGGGACATTTTCAAAGCATGGCCATTTGTGGGTGTTGAAGCAGACTGTTTCTGGGACCCTGGCTTTGGAAGATGCAACCACTGGATAACATGAAGCTATCCGATCCCCCACTTTGACTTTTTCCACATTTCTGCCAATTGCTGTGACTTTTCCTGCCCAATCCAATGCTAAGAGCTTGTGTTTATCACTCGTTTCTGAACTCCAATATAATGCATTTCCAAAATTACGACTGGTAACACTAACAGGATAATAGTCCTCAGAATGGATGCCTATCTTTTCAATTTCCACTTCAACACTGTCATTATCAAGGGGAGTGTTAGCGTTGTCACTCAACTCTGCAAATACATCTCTGGCTTCATATGGCTCAGAAGTATAAAGAGTAAACTCCCCAGGGTTTTCAAAAGACTGCAAAGGGTGAATGTAGGATGTATCATTGCCCTGGCTATGCCTAATTTCTGAAATATAAATTCTTCCCTCATTAATCCATATCTCAGGGTAGTTCTTTACTTCAGAATCTACTAAAACATCTGCTAAAGCTGAGATGTCCATCGTTCTTGTCGAGCTGATATCAATAATCTGAAATGCAATTTCAGTAGCTTCTGCCATGCAGGATCGTGCCATGCCACACAAAGCAAAACCAGGATTAATATGGTCTACAATCCTATCTGTTGTCCTGTAAGTGATTAACCTGATAGAGCAACGACTCGTCTTTTCTCTCAGTGCAATAATAAGTTGTCGAAAAGCTTCACAGCACTTTGATAAACTTCTAATAACAATGTCTGCATTTTCTTCATTCAGTCTTTCAATTCCCCACATGAACAAAACATCATTGTAATCTTGTACCTCTTGCTTAATTTTGTTCTTTGCAGCCAGTTCTGGGCTTTGCGATCCCAGTAATTTCTCCCAGTCTTCATAGATTAAAAATTTGGAATCTTTATGGAGGTATTTTTTGAGATGATGAGATACTCCAATTTCATCAGCAAACACTGCAAATCTACAGGCTTCTCTTGAGTTTTGGATAGCTTGGGAAAGGATTTTCTCTTTCCAACTATTTTCAAAGAGTAGATCATTTTCCCTCATGGAAGTTTCATTCACAAAAGTTATCCTAACACGTTTTATCTCTACCAGAACAGAGCCATGTTTATTGGTAAAACATCCACAACATTCTAAGTAATTGTCAGCGGACTTGCTTGATTTCATATATATCATCATCTCCTCTTCTAAAGGTTGAGCAACTACAAGGCTGTTTATTCCAGAAGGAATACCAACACGGTTTCTGAAGGTCTTTCTTGCTGGAACAACTATCATTTGTAGAAAACAATCTAGGAGAACTGGATGGATGTGATACTCGTGCATTTCCTCTGCGATCAGTTTTGTTACCTTTATGGTACTAATGGCTTCCTTCAGTTCTTCACAATAAAACACATCACCTAACTGCTTAAAGGCTGTCCCATATTCAAATCCAGTAAAAGACAGTGTTTCATATATCTCTTCTTTGCTAACAAAAGATTTACATCGTTGAAAAATATCATGATAGGAAATGCTCTTTTCTTCAAGAGAGATTTCTGGGTTCGTTCTGATTTGTCCTGATGCATAAACTGCTCCAGAGGAAGACAATATTTGGAAGTCTCTTTCTTCTTTATGTGATTCCACTTTCACCTTCAATTCATGAGAACTTTCACT